GTGTGTGTGTGTGTGTGTGTGTGTGTGTGTGTGTGTGTGTGTGTTTAGGTGAATAATTTATGCCTTTATATTTGGATTACTCTTTGTTGAGAAGTCTGTATGTTTTACACGAGACAGATAAATGTTAGGTTATGTTTTGCGCGTAAAACAATACAAATTGTGAGATAAAATATTCAAATTGTGTGTGCATGGATATGTATGTGTGCGCGCGCGTATGTGTGTGTGTTGGAGGGTGGGTGGGGGTGGTCTACCTGCATCTGTGTGCTCATCCCCTAAGTTTCCGTCCGCCGTGCTGTCCCACTCCAAACTTATCCCCCCCGCGCTTGGCGCAGGAAACTTCTCCTTGGCGMATGAAAGTTCGTTTGTCCTCTTGCTGTTGAATTTGTTCGGGTCCAGAATATCAATTATGGAAAAGGAAATCTTGTGAGTGGACGTCATTGTCACTCCGTGGATTCCATCATTCCTTTCGGGACGCGGAAAGTGGAAGCGGAGCGTGTGCGTAATTACGCGCGAGGCGAGGACCTCGTCATGGCTCGGTTCTGCTCCTGGTGGTTCATCAGACCGGGTCAGAGGTTCCTCGGAGTGCGGACTACTCCCCTTCCCTTGCTCCTCGGCTTCTGTCAGTCAGKCTTTGCAGCATGAATGAAGTGACCGGAGCGCGGTCTTTAAAGCATCTCTACCCCCCACCACTCCCCCACGTTTAGCCCCAGTTCTCCCCACCTGACACGTGACACAAACACTATTAGCGYTTCACACGACCACCTAATGGTCTCAAAGCGTTCAACGATAATCACCCATAACATTAAATCCAATAATTGACGACCTGAAGGTAAATTAAACACAGATGGCACTTTATTCATCAGAGATTGTCCTGTCTTTGCAAATTAGATTCTGGGCTGAGCGCTACTATCTGAACAAGTCAGGTCAGCAACAAAAACAAAATAAAAAACTTTATTTTAAAACAAACTTATAAACGACTGTATATATGTAGAAATGCTAGTACTKCTATGTTAATACAAGAAGCAAGAATAAATGAAGCAGCTTTAAAAGAAACTCTGTAATAGTGTTGCATAAGTTAATAATCCTAAAATCCTAGAGTTTAACTTTTTTTGGATTGTTAGACACCTAAAATGGTAAATGATTTGAACTTATAGTGCTCCAAATGTCATATTATCATTTAGATTAAATGGTAATTTAAACTAAATTATATATATAAWTGTATTTTTCAAATTGATGTTATGCCTTTATTAAGGAGCTACCATGCTATCTAAGAAAAAAAAAAGCTATTTAAAAAACTGGTGGGCTGCATGCCCCTATGCAATTATTTTTCTGCAACCCAAATGATTAATTTTAGGAAAACAATCTGAACATATGCAGGTTATGGCATGCAATAATAAAACGTATTTCCAAAAGTGACAATAAAAAAAAACAGCAGGAACTCTCATGCTATCATCACAATGCTTTATTTCAGTGTCCATCAGAGCCACATTTATACTGTTCAATATGGAAGGTTTTTGTATTTATTGTTGTTCTTTTACTAGTTTCCATATAATATTATTAATTTTAAAATCTATTTTTAGTTTTCATCATTCTCCATCATTTGTTTTTGTTCAATCACAAAAAGAGAAGATTGCATGACTAGTTAATTTCAGTTTTAAAGATCTATTTGGACTTTAGCATCTATTTTCTTCTATTAAAAAAACATCAAATAATCCTATGAGTTTTGACTTAAAGCTCCACTTTGCGCCTGCATGCCTCAGAGGATGCAAAACTGAGAATAAATGCAGCTGATTGTTTTCTCAGCAGATGTGATTGATTTGTAATGACAATCAATTAGATCCCAATTTTTTATTTGTTTGTTTTTTTGTTTTTCCACCTTTTTTAAATTTTATTTTAATCTTTTTTTTTTATTAGCATTCAGTACAGAGTGACATGGAGCTGTTTAAAGCTTCATGCCTGGCAGTGAGTGAGATGGTGAAACAGGCTCAGGATCAATATTCTCAGCAGGTGTCTGATACAGATAAAACTTGACAGCTACAGACAGTTTTGGACGTAGAGAAGCGAACCTACAAGCGCACACAACATTAAAAGGCTACTTTGAAAGCTGTTTTAGGAGCTTTAGTTCATTGTTACAATCTAAAATATATATCTTATAACTACAGTATAATAAAATGTGTGCTTTTGTTCAGTTTGAATGCTCAAACTGTGAGGTCTGCATTGTTTGAGGGGACAGAAAGCACAAAAGGCATTTTTTTTCCTGTCTGTTCCATCCAGTTGTGGCGACATGAAGGATCTAATCATGTTTACTGACTGTTAAAGGCCTCCTACATGGTTTCCTGTGTTACACAATTCACAGTGATTACTCTTCACGGAGCTTTCATTGCTCTCCAGTCCTRGCCCTTTTGGACTTGCGTGCTCTGTAGTTACGTTGGTCAAACATTTGYTGACGCCACCACTGCAGGGTGTCTTGCATGTCGGCATTTGCATGTGTATTCCACTTGTGCAGCCATTATTGCAGGCGCTCCATATGAATGGAGTCCGCTGCACACTGGAGGTTTACAACTTCCTACGAGAAAGCCCGGTGGCAGGACATCTGTTTGCGATGCTCGGCGAGACAAAAGGACGAGGCTAGAGGACAAAGAGGAGCCTCAGGTAAGACTCGTGCGAGCAGGAGCAGCAGCTGGTTTCAGCTCTGAATCYGCTCGGGCCACAGCCAAACTTCAGAGAGGAGAGTTCGCTGTTGAGCACAGCAGGGGGCCAAAGAGACACACTTCCATTTAAGACAACCCCCTCACCCCCCAGGGGTCAATAAAGTCATCTCTTCACAGGGAGGCTGCTAAACATCAGATAATTTGTCTAATGGCAGGAGTGACAGATTTCCTCACAGACTTTTGTGCTCATTGTATTCCCTAAACTCCACCACCGTCTCCCCAACTGTCCTGTAAAACAGGAGTCAGACAAAGAATCAGCAAGTGTCTGGTCAACCATTACAATTTATTGCATGCTGCAAGCTGCACTTTCTGGGACTACTTCTAAATTTGAGTCAGATTTTGACAGAGAAATGACAGAAAATAAGCTCCAAACTGAAATCAGAAGTTCCTCCTATGAATCCTTACGTTCTTAGTGACTTAACCTGAAGAGTTTTCACTTTTAAATTKCACAATGATTTTGATTATTGACCAATTGGCAGTTTAATGATATTTCCATAAGCCATGTGTATATCTGATGATTAGTGTTAAATCAAAGCATTCCTATTACAAACAAAAGCCAACAGTAAACTGTAATGGATGATTTCATCCTGCAAGAACGTGATATTTTTTATTACAGGTAACATTTCATGAACGTTACAGAACTTCGAGCTTCTAAGAGCAGAATTAGTTGGATCTTTCTCATGTTTTGAACTGATAATCAACAGTTATTRCTCACTGAGAAGAAAAGTTTTAATCTGATTTTATACTCTTCAAATCAAATTAGACAACAACTATTGGGCATGTGCATTTGTCTGTTAGCAAAACATCTCATGAATCACCAGACAGACTCCAATGAAACCTTCAGAAAGGGGATCACTGGGACATTAGGAAACCCAAAAAATTAAATAATAATGATTAAATAATCAATATAACTTGGTCATTTTTACAGAAATTACACCAAATATTTAGTGCAGTAGTAGCCGAGAGTCATCCTGAGCACAACACATGACTTAATTTGTCTTTGCAAAACACCYCCTGAACCACTAAACAGAGTTTAATGAAACTTTAAAAAGTAATAATTGGATGCACACCTACAAGTGATTCATTTTAGAAGTTGCCCTAATTCAAGATGATCACTGCTAATCAGTTCTAGTCGACACTTGAATGAGTCTAACTCAAGTATTTTCACAGATATTGAACTAAAGTGTCAGTTTACGGATTATTTCATATATGCACTTTTTGTGCATTTATTTCTGAATATATTTTCTGTTCATAATTTATGCCAAAAAGTCTAATTGAGAGTGTTTTTTTAGGTATTTTATTTTGTCTATGTTGATGTTTCTTTTCTTTTAAGTACGGAGTTCTGGCACTAGTCCACTTTATCTTCACTCACAAGCAGTTGCTAAAGATTTGCGTCATTTTAGAATCAATACTGTACTTCTCTCTTCTTTTTTTTAACAGTCAAAGCTTTAGTCCTTTCTGCCAGCTTTCTCATCTGCACTGCGCACCTATCCAGCCATGGGCTCCTTTCAGTCAGACCTCTGTGTTTGTTTGACTCTCTGACAACAAGGTCAGCGGCGTTGCCCAGTAATTGTCCTAACGGCCTGCGTACCTGTTGGGTGGAGGCGAGTAATGAGAGTTTTTCATTACAGGCGGGACGGGTGAGTGCGCCTGGCAGATGCTGACAGGCAGCAGATGTGTAAAGTTGGTGGTGATTTGTAAAAGGGGTCAGCTGCATCACAGAGTAGATGGAGGGCAATCCAGGGTGGGTGGCGGGTAAATTATCCTGCGTGACACTGTCAGTCATAGTGCACTCATGTCACAACAAGGTAAAGGTCAGTTCAAACGCTGGCGTTGGCAGCAAGCATTCTTCTAATGTGCTCATTCAGAGTGATGTGTAAAAAGGAAAGCAAAAGGAAACGATCAGTTTCATTTCAGTCATTGATTTAAAAGGTTAGACTTTTAATTTGAAAGCTCAACTTAATTATGACAGAAAGGTAAAGGTAGAAGATTAAGTGTTTGCTCACGTGTCTGTTTAGCAAAATATCTTGCAAACCGTCAGGCAAATTTGAATAAAATTTGCAGAAAGTAGTTATCAGAAGTCAACCCAATTCAAGATGGCTCCTGCAGCTAATTGAATAAACAGAGGAACAGTCACAACTCATTTTACTTTTTTGTGTGTTGTTCTAAAATTTAGTGTGGTATTAGCGGATCTCAAACTCATATTTTGAACCCTAATAAATTATATAAAATCTTAGTTTAAAATGTTCTCTTCGACTCCTTGAAGGTAACCGTATTTATTTGTTTGCAAAATTTCAGTTCACTAACAACCCCAGAGTTTCACAACCTCCGGAGCTATTTAGCAAGGACACACAAACAAAACAGACATAATGGTCAATGGAAAAATAGGAAGGGAGTTTTGGAGGGTTTCCCCCGCCCACCAAAACATGTAGCATAGGTTGCCTTCAGGCCCAGGCCTCCCTTGAAAAAGAGATCTGAGATCTCAATGGGACTTGCCTGGTAAAATAATGGTAAATAAAATAAATAAAATAATCTCATGGACGTCTGAATGGATTTTAATAAAACTTGTAGGAAATGATCAAGAATGTTTTTCAGTGGTGTCATCAGTAGAATCAACTGAATGAGTCAGAAACTTGAAGCCCATTTGGTTTCAGACATTGTTTAGATATGTTTAACCCTTTAACAGTCGCCCCTGAAAATTCCTTAAAAGCTTTTAGACGTTTTTTTATTTTCTGTCAGGGTGTCGAACTAAAGGCAAGAGCTGGAGGAAGTCGTCTCACACCCTAGTTTTCAAAATAAAAGCCCCCGGTAGTGTCAGAAAATGTTTAAAGGCAGAAACCTGTGTTTTTGCCCAGAACAAAGATTGTTAAGGAGTTAAAACAGTGAAGAAGTAGAA